TAGAAATACATTCTTTTGGCAGCCCCTGGGAAAACAGAGACTTGCCAAACCCTCAAAAAACTAAATATGGGTACCCCCTACCAAGTGTTGAGATAAGTATATAAAACTTAAATATGTATTTACTTAAGAATATGATTTGGTTAGTTAAAACTGGCTTCCCAGTTTGAAATGAACACCTGCTCTGTGATGTGAACATATGTTTCTCTGGAAGTTATCAATGGGAAAGAAAAGCCTGGAAAACAGCCACACTGAATTGTGCCTGATGGCTTCTGAAGCTGTTTTATGTCCAACAGAGATCAGACTTTAATCAATAAATCTGTCTCTGTTTTTATTGTAAATCAAAAAAGTTTGTAGTGCTAAAGCTCAAAGGCACATATTTCCAATCGTTCAACAGTTTTTTTCTCCTCATGTTCACAGGTGACAGAAAAAGGAGATTAGTAGAGATGCGATGCATCTCAGAAATTACTTCCCATCTGAGATATTGTTAACTCCCGGACAGCAAACTGAGCTTGTTCTGATATCCCTTTTGTAGAAGGATGCTTAATGAACATCAGGGTAGCAGCAAGAGAAGGGTAAACACAGTTGCTGAATTGTTTTGTTTTGGTCTGTGGAGGGAAATGAGCCAAAAGAGCTTCAAATAGCAGTTACGGACTAACTGGTGAGCACTGCTGAGAGATGGTGATATTTGCCAAACTGCCAAGGCAGAAAGAAAGAAAGGAAAGAAGGAAGGAAAGAAAGAAGGAAGGGAGGAAGGAAGGGAAAAAGAAATAATATATTTGATGCAGTATATATTACTTTCATATTGAAACACTGTGTTCAGGCCATACAGATGGCAAACTAGCTTCCTTCTTGGGGATACACCATACTGTTGCAAGCCCGTGTTTTCTGTGAGTTGCTCGGGTTTATGGGTCACCCCCTTCCTCTTCCCTCACTCATGAATGGCACTAAGATTTTTGAAGAAATGTAGTCCTACAGACACAAAGAAGCAAACCCTAGAAACTCCTCCTGGGATGAGATGGATGTGAATGCAGGAGCATGGTAGCTGTATCCAGTGCCTGTGATCAACATGAGACAGTGGAAAGGCAAAATGGTTAAGTTAATGACTTGTTTTCTGCCACGGAAAACAGTGAGTTTAGAAGCGTAAATCTAGGATGAATGTGGCTTCCTGTTTTTTCCAGAGATACCCCTCAAGACACAGATTGTTCCTTAACAGGAGGCAGTAAAACTGATTATTTTACTTTCAAAATTGCTGGTGTAGAAGCTAAGTAAAAGGATTTAGGGATTAATTTAATTAAATGATTAGTCTGTCAAGGACAAAATGGCAAAAGGGAAAGAATCCTCATTTTAGAGGCTGTATAAATAGGGAATGTGAGGAATCAGAGAGGTTTAGGCAATTGTTTAGTTATCCTTTACTTTTTATTGAACTGCAATTTTTCTTAATGTGCCATAAGAACTGGGTGCTCACTGATGAGAAGAAAAAGCAGAGTGCTGAAGTTAAATTTGATTTTTAGGACTTTGATCTTTCATCAGCATTTCTTGCTGACTTGGCTGTGTACAGTTTTCAAAGTAATGTTTTTAAGATGGATTGACCACTCAGACGCCAGTGAAGCCAACTGGAAGCCAAATATTTTGTATTTCTCTCAGTGGCTTCTGAGTTAATGTCATTTCCCAATAGCAATTCTACAGTTTAGATTGCAGATTTGAGTTTTAGCTCTGCTATTTATGGGAGTGTTTGAAGGTTTGGAATAGTGACACCAGGTCTGTGGCTAGAGGAGGTGTCAGAACAGAGAAGTTCTTGCAAAAACGTGCTCAAGGCTGTATTATCAATGTCCCAAAGCAGCTGTGAGGTGAGCTGAACTTCACAGGATGTCAGAACCAAGACCAGATCCCTGGGTTCAATGTGGATCTATGTGATACAGATATGTAGACTGTATCTGCTGACTGTGCATTTACAGTTTGGTTTACTTTGCTGTAGGCTTTGTCTGGTGCCAGGAATGCTCCCTGTGATGATATGAGAATTTCACAGAGAGTGAAATATTAAAACATATGAAACAATAGGTCTAGAACCATAATTTCACTGGAGATTTGTATGCAAAAATTTTATATCACGTTAAAGGGAAAAGGAAAACCAGTAGCAATTTCTTTTTACAGTAAAAATAAATAATCATTGGAAAATACTATGTGCTTTCTTCAGTATTGTTGCTATTAATACTATTTTTCATATCGCCTAACAGAAATTAAAGGTACAGTTTCATGGTTTGCTTAAGCCAGCCTAGCCGTATGTCACCACAGAGGGGGGCAAATCCTCCCTGCCACGCTGCTGCCCGCACCAGCTGAGCAGTTGCTGTTGGTGAAGCAAGGCTGGCTCGTGCTAGTGCCAGGCCAGTGTGCTGCAGGGATGGACAGAAGGCAGGGTTTCACCAGTAGCCTGGTAGTTCTGTCTAAACTGGTTGTAAAACCACGGAGTTTATCTGAGTAAGCACTGTGCAAATATCTTGCACAGCTGAGCTGTCGATTTTGCTGGCTTTTGCATTATTTTTTTCTCTGTTTTTGTTTGTTTGTTTTGTTTTGTTTCTGTTTCAGTGCTTTGCAGTCCTTAAGTGTCCAGTTTGTTTTGTTACCTCAGACTACTTGGGACAGTCATGAATGTTCACTTACCACCCCTCCTAAGAGACTTCATATGAAGCAGAATCATAAAAGCTGGGTCACACTGCAGGGGTTAAGTAAAGCACTTCATCCATTTTGGGCTCTGTAAGCTGGATTCATAATGCTCAGTCTCTGCTTTCCTCTCACTTCATCTTGTTAGGAAATGTGAATAGGCACCTTATTCTATTGAGTTGGTTCGTCATCTGTGTTGATATAAACAGGACAGAACATCCTTAATTCTGACTTTTGTATTTTTGCAAGTGACCACAATATAAACAGTAAGCTCTATGTGCTGGGCCTGTTACCATAGAAAAGCAAAATGTTGCTTATTCTTGCACTGCAGTATTTCATACACACTCTCACAGCCACTGCTCTGGTTAACCTGTTTTCTATGATTTGCTAGTTGTATGGGATACCCTCTATCCTTTCTAATTTATACAACATGTATTAGAAACATGCATCTTTCAGAAGACTCTTAAGCATGCTTTTTTCCTTGTGTTTCATTCTCTGATCAGGAGAATCAAAAATACATTCCAGGTGAACCTACACCCTTTGTTCAACATCGCATTTCTTCTCCATCTTGTGCAGCTAATTTGCAGGTTTTTAGTACTAATGTGCTGCAGTGTTTCAGCTCCCATTGTTTAAAGTAGACTTAAAATGTGTGCAGATTTTCTGAAAAATACAGGCCTCTGAAATGTCTCTGTGTCCCTGGCATTCTTCTGCTCTCGCTTTTATAATAGCTGTTGTCAATTTGCTCTATTTTGTGATCTGCAGTGGAGAGGGGTCTGTAGTTCCAAACTGAAGTTACCTGAAGCTCTGTATCATTTTGTTTTTTAAAGGGGGGCATCTCATTTTCTGATGTTAGATGGTGTACTTACCTTTGTTTCTTTTGCTTGGTTGTTTGTAAACTGTTCTAATAAGCTCATGAACTATAAACACACACTGGGTTTGTCCTTGAAAGATAAGCATTGCAAGCATTTCATGGGCTACAGAGAAGGGATAACTTTAAAGAAATATATAATGGTAGCAAAGAGACAAGGTTTTAACTGTGTTAAAACACGAGGAGCTGTTAATTACTTGTCTGAAACAAGCAAAGTATTTATTCTCCTGCAAAAAATAATCCTTTTAGAATTGATTACTGATAAATGCATCGGAGATTAACCTGTTTTCTTAATGGTAATTTGTAATGTTGTTATAATCTGCTCTGTGTAATGCTCTCTTGCCCAGAGGAAATGAAAACAACTCTAGTATGAAGAAACCCTGTTGCTGCGGGTGATATCTAGTTGCCCTCACTGATATTACACAGCCGTTAATGGAAGTGTTCACCATTTCCCTCTGCAGGAGTCCCTCCCAAGGACTTCATGTCTGTGGGTTAGACAGAATTAATTTCTGGGAATATTCATAGCTAAGGACAGATAAATAGCGCTAAGATTTGCAGTGCACTTGCTCAAGGCTCCTCAAGGTAATATTTAGTGTTATGATACCAATGATGTGAAGGTGGTGGAACATGCCAGTGTATCCAGCCCTTACTTTTGACTAAAGCAGGAACAGTGAAAGGAACACTGAGCATATTTTGGAAATCCTCTATGGAGTACTTCTTTCAGCACCACAGCTTAGTGTAGCAACTTCATGCTACAGCCAGGAATAACAAACAGCAGGGTGCTGATATCTGAATGAAAACATCAGTTACCTCTTTCTGTTAAAGACTCCCCTCCTGGCTGATATACCTTCTGGAGGAAGGGACATCCGTATGCAGCTTAGCCAGGAGCAAGCAGTCATTCTGCAAAGCCAAGTCATTTGTCTTTGCTCTATCCCCAGAGCAGGGGCTCTAAGCACTCAATTTTCCAGCCAAAGTAATTACACAAAGTAATATTTTCCTATTTTTAATGGACTCTTTTGACTTCCTCAAGGTCAGCACACAAAGTCAACACATCTACACATCAGTGGGATGTGATCTAGCTTCAGGTTCCTTTCAAAGAGCTGGGGGGGTAACCTCTCCTTCCCTTCTATCCTCCTTAGTGAGGATAATAGCTACCAGTTTCAGATAAGGGTGATGTTAACCTCTACAATATAGCTTTCCCCAAAGTCTCTGGAAACAACGTGGATGATTACTATTAGCAGGGAAGACAGTGTGTACATGTAGTTAATTATTTGTGGTTGAGGACAATGGTTGATAATGAGTTAACACTGAGGAGCTGAGGAGCGTGCAGATAGCTGAACATGCAGAATTGCAGTAACACCTTTGCCACACAGCCTGCAGTGTAGTTAACTTATTATCTAATCTGCTATTGTTCCCACTACTGTTGGGCCTGTGCCTGTGTAGAGGAGTACTCAAAGACTCTTGGGTATTTTTTCTATCGTGATTTAATCAGGTATTCTGATACTCTGATATATGTAGGTTGGATGAGACGACAGCTTAACCAAACTGGCTGAGAAACAAGTATTATCTCTACCTGGAATAAATTCTTATTAGTGTTATTATTTATTTTTCCTTTTCCCTCTAAACTGTACTGTGAATTAATGGAACCTGTTAAGCGTCTTATATACTCTGGCATAGCCAAATAAACATTTACCTTCTCTAGAAACTCCACCCTGGGAATACACTAAGACCTGCTGGAAATACTACCTGGCTAACCCTGGATCAGGCTGCAAATGGTCTTCTGTGAGTCTGGTGAAGAGGAAAGGACTAAACCATGAACAACGTAGAGTGAGAGGGATAATGGGGTTGGAAACCGTTGATCTAATCTAACACTGTTACATTTTTATACTGATTGGGAAAGGATTTTTTTTTTTCTTTTCTTTTCAGTCACAAGAAGATAGCTGTTCAACTCCTAATGGAAAAAAATCTGCAGGAATTATTTAGTAATCTCCTCCTGGAAATAATTTGCATCTGATAGTTACTTCTGGGGCCAAATAAAGTTAGTTGAGAATCCCAAGGCACTTCTGAGGAGGCAGATGTCTACATCACAAAATGATTATCCTTTTACGCTGTGGTGTTAACAGTCTCAGTTGACAGAATGGCGGGTGTTTTTTTTTATTTATTATTTTATTTTGTTTTGTTGTTGTTTTTTCCCTCCCCCTCTGTTTGTCTGACTCAAGAAGAAGCCTACTGCTGGAAGACCTGAATTACTTCTACTTCTGTCAGATAGGGGCTGCGGATTTCCATCTCCCTACCTTTCAATCTCATCTCTCTCATTTTGTAGATAAAGAAAAATTAACACATGCTGTCAATTTTGATAATTACTGAACTTGCTGATGGTTTTAAAAGGATAAATTGATTGTGTCATCTAAGAAGATGTGTCCAATATTGCCCAGTTTGAAGTCCAAAAGAAATCTTACCACTTTTAACAGGAGAAGCTGGCAGTCTTAAATTATCTCTTAAGCAACATTTTGTTAATGTTTTGCAATTCAGTCTGCCATTGAACAGGCAGGGCAGTCTAAAAGAAATGAAGATAACATTAGGGGTGGTAGATATTATATGTGCACATACCTTGTATATTTAGGATAAATTAAATAGATAGCTGCAGAGCTTAGGGAAAAAAAAAAAAGATTGTCAGTATTTCTAAATGTTAATGGGGAGTATTGAAACAAAACTTCATTTGTAGGCTGGACATGTTTCATGATATTACGCTTTCTGTATCTACAGACAAAATGCTTTCTACTGCAGATCACAGAATCAGAAATGATCTTAATGGTTGGGAAGACAATGCAATGTAGCCAGTTAATGAAAGAGCTTGATCTGTACAGAAAATTATTTTGAGCAGATACACACATACATAGAAAGAAAGATTAATTTAGAGACCTTTGTCATTAAAGCAGATTTTTGTATGGTTTTCTGTGGGATTTAAGGGGGATTAAATGTTTGACATCACTTTGCCTGCACAGGCTATGTTGAAGAGGTTACTGAGCGAGTGATGGAGAACTCAAATATGCGCCTATGCTGAAAGAGTGGAAGAAATGGATCAGGCTGCAGCCTGGCAAAAAAATTTGCTTTATCTACTACATTTCTAAAAGCAGGGTGCTTCTGGTATGACAGCAGATGCCACAGGAATGTAGAGCTCAAGGAATTTTAATGATTTGCCAAAATACGAGGGGAACTCAGAGAGGACATCAGAACTGGGATGCCTATGTCTTCTGTCTTCAGTGATGCCTTGCTTCACATGCATCCTTTGTGTGATATGCTGTTTCTAAACAGTAAAAGCACTAAAAATAAAAAGTCAGCAAGGTGGATTGGCTGATCAGGTGCATTTCTCTTTTGGAAGAGATGGTCCTGGTCATGAAACTTCTGCTCCTCACCTGCCTGTGGCCAACAGCAGTGCTACACAGCTCTCAAAGTCAGCATCACCATCGTCATCATCGGCAACATTTCTCATTCTTAAGAAAACATAACAGGTAAGCAATATATTCTCTCTGTGTTCATCTGATAAACTTGGTGCTGTCTGTCAGCAACCTTTTGATGCACCCTGTTTGTTCACTGTCTTGTTTTGCCAGTTTCTGAATATATGCTATGCATAATACATGTAGAGGGTGTTCCCAAAACAGAAACGGTAAACTATTAATTGACAGAGCTTTTTCATAATTAGACATTTCATAATGTGATTTCATGTATGCTTCATGTATACACAGGCATGTACACACTCACACCCCTACACAGGCTCTTTTTAATTGTGTGATACCAGACTACTATTGTGATGAACTGAGTATTTTTGTCCTCGCTTCCCTTACAACAAGTAGAAATGCATTCCAGTTTGATGCCAATGCTTGAAAGTGACTTCCATTAACTAAACAGCAGAGTAGCTACACTGTCAAGATGCAGAAGACATTTTTATGGCACTAAATGAGGTGAATTGTACTTTATTTTTAGTGATGACACAATGTGCTCCCGTTCTGGAATACTGCCTGTGCTCTTAGACGTTGGAAGGGAAATTGTTCTTAGTCTTTCTAATCAAGTAATTCATTTAAAAGGAATAGTGATACAAAGCTTTTTACATATAAATTTCTTTGCAAAGTGTTTGTACTTTTTACAACAAATACAATTTCACATCTTCCATGTGAGGCCTCTGAATGTGTTTCGAGATCAATCTCATAACATGTAAGCAGGACCACTGACTACCAGTCATAGTTCAAGTAAAATCTCTCTTTGTTGGGAGGTAGGAAATAGTGTGATAAGTAGCGCTATAAGGAAGGAGAAGTGATGCAATGGTTAAACTTTTCCCTGTCCTTGACACCCTATTAAAATGGGCAGGGGAGCTCATTGTTTGTTCATACTAATCACCTATTGAGGAAAAGTAACATAATTGGACTCCTCTGATGTGGTTAAGCTATTTTTAAAGTTACATGCTTTGTAGCAGGCATACAGCTGTTTACCTTCTGTATCACTCTTTATGTGATATTCCAGCAGTGACATATCTTTGAGTCCTTACGTGTCTTGTTAAAATCATGGTTAAGCAACAGAAGGCAAGAGAAAATATCCCAGTGACACAATGGAAGTGCCTGGAGATGCTTTATAGCTCAGTATTTCTGGGTTTCACCTCAAGGTCATAGGATCAAGTTCAGTCTAAGCCAAAAGCTCATGAAAAGAATGCCTACTCAGCAGACAACTTTCAAACACTGATAGTTTTAGAGTGAATACTAGTGCATGATTATTTGGAATAATAAAACAAAATAAACAGAACTGGAACTAATGTCAAAATAAGGTCTTTACTAGTCTCAGGAAGCAGCTAAGAATCAAAGAGAAACAGAATAAAATAACTCCTTAGTGCTGTAGGGGTAAAGAAGGTCTGGTTTTAGCTGAGCTAATACATTTTTGTTAGTGGTAAAAGGGAAATGTATGCTAATATTTGCATTTATCCTGTTCTGCAATAGCTGGACATTGCTGACCTCTTGCCACAGGATGACGGTAACTATATTAGCACAGTATCCTCTACATTTTCATAGATCTTTACTAATACCTACAAATGGATCCACAGGCCAGGCCTGAGAGACAGGCTGAAGAAATGTGTTAACAGAACAGAAAACAGGAGTAATTGCAGCACCATGTTCTCAACTAACACTGAATAGGGTAGCAGTTTTCTTTACACAAGGCAAAGCCTTTCATAGCTTCATTTCCTAGACCCTTGTGATTTAAAATTTGGAACTGGGAAGAAGACTGCAGAATCTGAGCCAAAGAAGATCCCAAAGCTCAACAGCTGCAAATCAGCTTTTCTGTGGAAAGGATCCAAATACGTTTAATTTCTCTTTGTTTGATTCTCACTCTGGTTTTATTTCTAAAGGCAGCATTATCCTCCAGTACATTGCAACAGGGTCTGACTTTCCTCTTTTTCTTTCTGGGGAAAAACCTTTCAGCCAGCCCTAGAGTTATTAGGGACACAGCTGACAGATGGCCTTGGTTAAATGGGTGGCCTTTTAGAAAGAATCCCATGTGAAAATGTTACTTAACCTACAAGTTCCACTGGTTTAATAGAGTAACCCAATTCTCCCTCCAAAGCTATTTGTCTGCATTCTCTTGTAAAGAAGATTTTAAAGCATTAACCAAAAGTACATGAGAAAGAGATTATTCTCATGGTCCATTTCCTAAAGCAAAGAACAAAACATTTGACTATCCAAATATTAGGCATTTTGACAGTGCATGTTGCTGATGTTATTGAACTCTTGGAAATGCAGAGAGAGACAGAAAGAGAGAGAGAACTGTACGGTTTTGATGCTTACTTTTTTCTGGATTTCAAAATTTGATAAGTGTGTTAAAAGTTTCAGAGATCACAGTGCTGTATAACTCCAGATACCTTCCTGGGAATGAGATTTCTGTAGTTCTACCTTTTGGTTACCTTTGATTTGATAGTATCTTAGGGACACAGCACTGGAAAGAACCTTATAGCCATTAAATTTAGGGTCCTTCATGGTATTCTTTCCACAAAAGAGTCCTTCAGAGTACTCTTTTCATAAACTCGCCTAGTTTCCTTTTGAATATGATGAGATTTTTTTTCCCTCTACTTCCATACTCCAGTAATAAAGGAAGTGTGGTATTTTGGATACTATATTAGTGTAACAGAAAACAAAGCCACTCCTACCTGTCCTTCCTGAGAAGTGAGTTCAAGATTTTTCAAAGCTTTTGACTTTCTCATGAGCAGCACAGAGCATTAAAACAGAACAGCTACAAAGGATCTTACCAAATGTCCATGCATGATAGTGCCCTGTTTCCAACAGTGGCTGTAAGCACAAGTCTGGAAGAACAAGGACAGGGCGAATATGAAAGGTATTTTCCACTAATAGTCCCCCATCCTGCAGTCATCATATTTTCCTCAGAAACTTCCTGAGTTTGATGTAATTTCTGCAGATTTAGTGACCTTCTGTGGATTTCTTTTCCATGAACTTGTCTGATTTCTCCCTGAAGAAGAGTAAACTTTCAGTAACCTGGTAAGTTAAAAACAAACAAAACAAAACAAAAACAACAAACAAACAAACAAACAAAAACAGATGGCATACTAACCACACTGCTCCCCTGCCACTGGTTATGTTACACCACTGTTGGCATGATGGGGTTAAATGCTTCAGCCAGAAATGATCCAATTTCCCTGAAGCAGACCTTTCACCTTTCACTCCTTGTTACTTATTAAGGCTAGCTAAGAGCAGCTAAGTTTGTCCTTAAAAACCTGCCGTGTATTCATCTGTTATTAAAGAATTCTGAATTGGTTCCCTTGGTTTTGTAAGCAGTGACTAGCTGCTGTTCGAGAGCTCTTCCAGACACCAAGGCATTGAGCCATGAGTCCATGTAACAGTACTGGGTAGCGAAGCGTCCAAACAGTATCTCATTTGTTTTTCATCTGAAGAGTTAGTGCTTCCACTAATTTCCTATATAAATGCCAGAAGGGGTGTCTTCCCTATGTGATATGAAACACTTCAAATGATTTTTATGACCTCCTTTGGAATTTATAGGCTACGATTTCATTTGCATAGTGTAAAATGTTGCCTGGAATACAGCTGTGGAAAGAGCTATTATAACTGGAAGCAGTAGTTTTTTGAGCATGTGCTTCACTGAGGCTGACAAGCCTGTTTCTGCCATTGCCCAGATCAATGCCAATACAAAGCCACCTGTCAGATCTCCATTTATTACTACTACCCCAGACAGGTAAAGAGAGATTTTCTTTCCTCAGATGCATGCAGGCTTTTCCTATCAAACACCAGAGTCTGATGTCTGCCATACAATGAGGGTGCACAATCAATGACTACCCTTGGACTCCTAGATTATGGTGCTCTGGCCAAAGCTGCATGATAAAGAGGCCATGGTGCCATTTTAATTATATTAAAATATAATCTAGGTCTTTGCTGTGCTTCTGTGGGACTGAAACTAGTTCCACTAGCAACTGCCACTCTACTATGGTCTTGACTGACCTTGAGAAGCTTTTCTGAGACCTACACTGGTTAGCTCTGTCTCTACTGCTTTTTAATGGAATTGGCCCCATGGGAAGAAGCAATCAAGAAAACATCTGCTGATGATTTCACAATGCTGTGGTACTGATCAATAGTTAGATATGGGTCTGGGATTTCTTGGGAGTAAACAAATACATGCATGCAATTCCCTTTGAGTCACCAGTTAAATAACTTTAATGCTGCAGTGAGGACAATTTAACACTCTAACTCTTAGCCAAGGAACAGCATCTGGAGTCCAGATGCTGATGTTAAAGGAATATTTGCTGGAGAACACTTCTTAGCCTTAAGTGGGAGAAGCAGGCAGTGAGGAGAAAAAGAAGTGAAGCAGAAGTGTATTAAAAAAAAAAAAAAAAAAAAAAAAAAAAAAAAAAAAGTAGAATTTTTAATGGCATTTTTAAAATTTTTGGTACCTTTACATGTGCAATGTTTCCAGTGTCCATGAAATTAATTCCAAGTACCATGAGCACATACTTCTGCATGTAAGCTTTTTTTCCTTTTCAATTAAAAAAAAAAAAAATCTGCCAAAGGAAGGTGTTGAAGAAAAGATGGCACACATTTGTAATGAAAGTACATTCTGTACTGTACTTTCTCTTCTGACTCCTGCAAGATCTTGCCTTGTTATGAACAACTACTTCTGATAGCAGCTAGAAATAATTACACTTACTCCACCATTTGTATATACAACATCAGGTTGAAGATGCTATTCAACTAAGTGGGCACAAAAGATGATTTTCATGTAGGCAGCATTTGTGTTTATTTTGTCCTCATACAGGAACACAGAAAGAATATCAAAATCCCATAGCATCTCTTTTCAGAGGCTTATTAAGAAGAAATCTCCTGCCCTGGTTGCTTATATTTTACTTCTTGATATTACTAGGGAACATTTTCCTCAGTCACCCAGTTATTACCAGTAAGAAGTTATAATAAATGTAGCATAGCTTTAGCTTGCTTCTTCCAGTGAAATCATCAGAGCCTCAGACAGGTATCTTTCTCGGCACGTTTGATAACAAATAACCTAGTGCTTCCAAACTGTATTAGCTGTGCCATGGCTTTCTGAACATAATTCATCTTTTCCTCCTATACCAGTTCCCAAGCAGCAGAATTTCCCCGCATGCCTATTGTGGAGTACTGCAGGTGTTTGTTTCTACTGCCTGTGCTGCTCTGACACAGACAGGCTTGATTACAGCTTTTTTAATTCTCTGAAGTGTGAGGTTTCATTTTAGCATCCACATAATTTTGTTCCAAGGGAACTGAAGTCTTTCTTTGAAATGCTTGATGGATGTTTGCCCGGATAATTTGGTTCAGGCAACGCTGCTGGAGACGTTCAAGAATACGCAGGTAGCTGAACTTGGTCAAGCCTAACGGTTCTGAATAGCCAAACAGCTGGTGACACTGCAGCATCCCTGTGAAACAGCATTGTAATTCCTTGACCTTCATTAATTAAAAAGGGGGAGGGGGAGCCCAAGTAAATACAGCTGCTCCTTATCCTAAGGTATCTCATACCTCCGCCTACTCAGTGCTTGGCTACAGGGCAAATCTTTAGAACAAATTGTGATCATTCAGTCTAAAGCAACAATTACAGTCACTGGCTGCAAAGTCTCAGTGAATCACAGAGGGCATGAAAAAAATGATCTCTAGGGAGATTCCCTTGCCTGTGGCAAAGTAGGTGTGTTTAAGACATTCCTACAGATAGCTGTCTAACCAATTTTTGTGTAGCACAAGTGAAAGGAGTCTCAAAACCTCCCCAGGCAATCTGTTCACTGTTCTCACCAGGAGGTACGTCTCCCCTGTTGCCATTACCCATCCTGTCTGGAAGTGGATATGGAACAAGAGGCCCTGTAAAAGCTCATTATGTGTTCAGAAGATTGTGATATGTTCCCTCAGTCTTCTTTCTCCAAATTAAACAGCACTGGTTCCTTGGGATCCTCCCACACCTTTTATAAAATGGAAGCTCAAAACTAGACTCAGTGCTCCAGCTGAGGTTTGGCTAGTTCTGCTATTACTTGGAGCCAGCCACTTAGAGCAGGTCATACAAGGAGTGGAGACTGAAGGAAGCATCAGAGCAGAAGCAAGATAACAGATTCTTTCAAAAGTCTGTGTCTCTCAGCTGCCAGATCTTGTCTGTGGTATAACCCAAATACTTCAGGATAAGACCACCCTGCTGTCTGTGGCGTACTTTCTGTGTACCGGAAAAATAAAAAAGGAGGCCACACTGTGATGGGCAGCTGCAGTTCATTTTAGATGCAGGCCCAGCACATAAATGCCCTTCTCAGGTAGTAAAATTCCTCATGGAATTTGGGATGTGGTGCAGTACGTTCTGCAAAGGGAAGAGAGTTAACAGCAGTCATTAAAAAGAAAAAAAGAATTCATGGCATCCTACTAAGAGCATCCAAACAGAAAGATTAATCTGTGTTTCCTCTGTGCTACCCAGCAACTTGGTTATGTGTGACATGAGAAAAAAAACACAGAGACGGGACATCTATGATGCAAAGAAATACTGCGTGTCTGAGCAGCAAACAAGGGGTGAGCTAATGAGCAACAAACAAATGGGAAATTACAAGTTAGCATATAACTTGGCCACAACTGATGGATGTTTGAGAGGATCTCAAACACCAAGTTCCTGGACCTAGGACTGTCAGTTTCAGAGTCCCTCAGAAAAATTATTGATTCATTTGAGGTCTTAGGGAAAGAAGAAAAAGATTTATGACAAAAAGTGTAATTGTCTTTGTAATATGGATAATGTATAAAGTGGTTTAAAAATGCGGATTCGTGGTGTTATTTCCAAGTCTGTGTTGAAAGAAGTTATGTGAACAATACCTTTTTTTTTTTTTCATTTGGCTATTATTTCTCATATAATGATAGAAAAAGTCTCTGAGGGGATTTCTTATATGTAAAAGGTGTTCCTCATGAACCTGGGTGCCCTCATACCTGATTTATCCACCTTTTCCAATATGTATCTCCCCAACTTTATTAACACAGTTGTTTCCCTTATTACTGTAGATTCAACTGTCCAGGATTTTTGAGTCCCTGCTTCATTTAGCCTTCTGTCAGGCAGGAATAAAAATGAAGTTTCTTACTTTTTTTTTTTTTTTTTTTTTAACACAGCAAACGAGAAATTAAAATGAGGAAACTTGACAGCACCAAAGTACGGCCACTTAAATCTGAGCAGCTTCTTCGCATAGAGGACCATGACTTTGCACTGAGACCTGGATTTGGAGGTAAGCAGCAGGTGCCAGTGCTGTGCTGGTTAGCTCTTCATTCTCTATCTGAAAGTTACGTAAACTCTGTCCGGCAATGTCATTTAAAATTGAACAACAGCTTTAATTGCAGCTCACCTCTTTTGCACTCCAGAAACCAAAGAAAAAACTAGAAATAATTGAAGGTGAGACACTTTTTTGTATTTAGCATATCAATAGGAGAAACCATTCAAACTGTCTCCTGCTCAGAACTAATTAAAAAAAGCAATATTATTAGAATACTATTCTTTGAGCACAGTGATTAAGGTATCCCTGGAAACTGCATAGTCTAGTAGCAATTAGCAAATGACTTAGTCATCAGATTTGTTTTGAGAGATTGAAATGACCTATGAATTCCTAAATCTGTTTGCTCTGTACAAAATTTAATAGCTAACCACAGGCCTTCAGTTTATTACCACGTAGTTTCTGTGTTGTTGGGCACTATGATGATTATTTCTTCATTTAACTAAATTGCATGTGGATAACATCCCAATCAATGGGATGTTCCCAGTTTAGATTTGATTTTGGCTCTCCTTCATAGAAGGTAAAGTTAGAAAGCTGCCCTACTCTTAAGCTTTGACTGTGTCTTTGCATCACCAGTTCAGCGTTCATGATTCATAGAAATAGACCCACCTGCCCTGGATTATGAAGCCAAAATAAAATATATGAGGAGCAATTATCAGCTGTGTGAAAAGGCATAAATCTAGGAGGCTAGATGAAGCCTGTGGAGCTGTTCTTATTGACACCAGGTGCTGGGCCTTGGCAAGCATGCCAGGAGGGAGAAACCTGAAGTAAGAAAAGCCTCTCTGGATGCACTGGTTGTGAAGGAATTTCTCATTACTCTAGAAATTTTGGCTTGTCAGGGAGCAAAAATCTTTCCTGACTTTTAACAGTAGTTGAGTTATGTCTGTATCTTGGCAGCAAAAGTTAGGATTGCATTTTGCCTAAAACCTGTCTAACCTAATATCTGTCACTCTGGACATCTTCCTGTTATTACCTGCTTTGTCACACAAGGAATTTAAACTTTTGAGAGTATCATCTCAGAAAGGAAGCAGCATTTCCATGAAAGAAGCAACAGTTCAGGATGTACTTTATCACTGGGTCATCACAGAAAGCAATACTTCTGATGCACATAAAAGCAGCTTTCAGAATATACCCTGTGATCTGGCAGCTGTAATTTTCCACAGGCAGTGAGGATTTTTCTGCACCCAGAAAATCTGTACCAGGCTTTTTCCCCTTGTCCTTTTATTTTCAGATGACTAGTCATAGAGCCCTTTCAATTCCCATTGAAGCCAGCTGTGGTTTTTCCACTGACTTCATTGCACGGGCCTTCTAATAATCACATTGCCATGGGTACGATTTCAGCTGCGCTCCCGTCTTCCAGAAATAGCTTTCAGCAGAACTGTGCATCAGCTTTGCTGCTCTTGTATTATCCACGTGCTGTAGTGGCATAGGTGGCACTTTTAAAAGTCATGTCCAGTAGTTCACACACATTCACATTTTCAGGACTCTCTTAATAAATGGAATATTTATGTGTCAATCTCTTTAAGACTATAACATGGATCCATTAACATTTTTACAGCACACAATGAAAAGTCTTGGGGAAATGAGTATTGATCCTAATTTTACACTGCATTATTCCTGTCTTACCATTGATTTCAATAATGTTACAGCAGTAAAGAATGGCTTGTTTTTCAGAAGAGACAGGTTAATAAGGCATGACAGAGAGCTATCACAAAAATGTAACCTCATCAAAGGACAAAACCATCTGAAACATGAATCTGAATAACATACCCAGAATTATTGTCTGACAGCAGAGTACGTGTTTGTCTAAAAGACACTACAAATAAGTGTGCAATAGAAGAAAACAGCTACAGAAGATGAAATTAGAGATATCCCTGCTGCCCAGGCACTGACTGGAAGGAGTCACATATACCCTTCTCACAAGGTGGGCACTGCTATCAGCAAGGCTCACAGCATGTTCAGTACAGCTTATGCTCTGGGGCTGGCGCAGCTAGGGAACAAGGACTTTGCTTACTTTCCCCTTCTTCACACTGTACCCACAGCCATAGCATGGCTCTGAACTGCATTAAGACTTACAATACTGTGGCTTTATGTATTTAAACAGATGAGGTTTGGGGTTTGTTTTTATCAAACATAAAATAGCATCTCAGTACTGTGATTCTTTGAGGGCTTGGATCTGCAACGTGTCACAGTGCATGATTTATTTAGCTCAGCACAATGCATGATTTTATGATACTGATGGGAGAAAAGAAAGAAAACAAAACAGGTCAAAAGAGCTGAGTGAAAAACAAGTATTTTAAAATTATTCTTTACCTTTCAAAGAGGGACAATTTTTTTCCCTCTATATCTCATTGGGATTTCCTTGGTGTGTCATTGAGCTGTAATGACAGATTTTGTTAATTTCTACTGTGCCCCTTTCCCTGAGAAGGTCAATCATCCTTTGCACCAGTTTGAGGAAAGAAGCAGCTGGAAAATCTATGCTGTTTTTAACCTGCTGGAGATTCCTCAGTTCAGGGAACTCACAAATCTAAATCTAGCTTGTTAATTTCATTTAGACCCACACATGCAAAGTGAATGAGGAAGATAATAGGACCCAGAGATTTTAGTATTTATAATTAAATAAAAAGGAAAGACAGAGAAAACACATGCTGAATTTGGTTTGTAAACTGAGCAAACATCTGCACAGGAAAAGATTTGGGGGAAATGAATGTAGAGCTGTTGAACACTGATGCTTCTGGCTGCAGTGTCACTGGAAATAATTGTGACCTTGCTCACATGGCTGATTGCATTCTCCTGAAAATATATCATTGCTTTTTGGAGATGAAAGGTCATTTTTTGACCAAATGGCCACAGTTCTGCTTTTATTTATTTGAGTGTAATTTGTCTTTGTTCTGTTGATTGCAATGACATTCTAGCTGCACAAGCATAAGTTGACTCTCTGCTGATTTTAAAACTTAGTCCTGACATTGTCTGTTTATTAACAGATTAGAGATCTAAGTCTGAGAAGTATACTGTGTCAGCATGAAGCAAAATCAGCAAGCTGCTAGCAAGCTGTTTCTACATTTTTGCTATAGAAATGCTCCTGTGTCTGCAGCTCCTTACACAGTGAGGCTGTGAAGCAAACCTATTCAGTACATACAAATATTATTTAAGATAAAAAAATGAAAACTTACGTTGTTACACTGCATTTACTCCCTAAGCCAGGCTCTTGGGTTGTTTGTTTTGTCATGGTCCTCTTCTGTTTGAAAGTCGCTGGTAGATGGACCCAAGCAGACTGACCTCCTGCAGACCAAGGAGAAGAAAGAGCACTAAAGTTTCCTGTAGATGAGCATAGTGAAGGCTTGAGAAATTCCACCAGCAATGGTATAGTACTGGTCATCAGTTGTGGTAAGGACTGTTTGTGTAAGTCCTACCAAAGGAAACAAATAACTGTCAGGAGACTCAAAGTCAGATCTTTTCATGACTTATATATATCTTTGTATGGCTATGGCCTAAAGTACCTCAGCTGATTTTTCAGTAGCCTGGTGAACTGATAATCTGTGAGAAGATAGCTCAAGTCTGGACTAGAGAAAAAACAAGAAATTAAATTATGTTGACAACACAACTCTGAATGATCATCTCCATATTTTAAACTCAGTGAGAAAAGATGAGCACAGGCCAGTATCAGACATTGTGCTGAGATTTCTAGCAGCTCACATCTGAGGAGCACCATGCAGGCTGTCTTGAGAGCCAAAACCTTATGCATTGAGGGAGGTGTTAGCGTGAGTCACACTTAGAAACCTTTTAAAATTACTTTATTTTCTACTATATTTATGCATCTATTTCTCTATATAATGTTATTTTCCTAACATTCTTATTTCAGTGTATTAGCAGAAGTCCTTTTGAGCTCTTGGTTTCTTGAGTTCTGTCTCCATGAGCTAAAAATCAGCATTGTCATTTTAAAAATCATCATTCCTTTACTCCTCTGTCCTTTGGTTTTCCTAAAACTCTTTCACAAGCTCTCTGAACTATTTTGCAATCTAGAGATTATAGAACCACATATTAACTGTCACTACATAAAAGTAGTTCTCTCTATGTGTATATATACATATACGAATATACACGTATATATTGAAGTATAACAGCTTTATTTTTCTTTTCCATTGTATCTTAATGACCTGTCAGGCCCTATGCTACTGGTGGGTGAGTTAAAGAAATTTTAGAATTGGATATTTCTGCTTTGTCAACCTGTAAAAGGTTGTGCATATTAGAAAGATGGAAAATAATTTAGTACAATTTAGCTGATCAAACCTTAGCAGTCTTTCTAGAGAATTTTCATCCCAATCTACAATTAAGCATAGTCTTTATTCCAGATTGTCAGAGGATCAGAAATCACAGTAACTCCTCCCCATTTCTTGAAAGTTCAGAAACATCTCACTCTTGTGGAGGAGAGTGACTGACAAAAGTGGAATAACTTTCTCCCATGTGTTACTGGAAGGAATAGCTGGGGTCCAAAACAGGAGGGAAATATTTTGGTAATTTGCAAGAGCTCTGATAGGCAACTTCTCCTGGATGTGTTTTTGTACATTGCTAGTTCTTCTATTCCAAGAGCTGGCTATGGCTGATACCAGTCCCCCTTCGTTTCCCATGTAAATCAGAAAGAAACAAAAGAGTAACAAGAAGAAAATTCTATTGCCAGTAATGCTCCTGTTTTACTCATTGCCAGGGGAAAGTAAATACATCCACCCAGCTTAACTCACCTGCGGCTTGTTTGCATTTCTGTCTCTTTGGTTCTCTTCCTCTACAAGCCCACAAGCCTTTTTTAGAAAAAAGCATCTGTATAGATCTTAATCCTCCCCCAGTCTCTCTCTGTCTTACTGGCAGCCTTCTGTAGACATAGCTTTTTTTTTCTCAGCATACCCTGTTACGAAGCTAACTGTGAAAAATCAGTGACTGATCTTTCTAAATTCAATATCTTAGGAAATTGCAGGTGCAATCAGCAGTGTGTTTAAAGGTTTGACTGCTACTACAAACAAACAAACAAACAACAATGTATGTAATTCATTAAGCTAGTTATTATTACTGTAGAAATTGATCCTAGAATGCTAGATATATATTTTTTTTAATGTAATAGCTCTTTTAAAAAGGATACTATAGACTTTGTCTTTCTTGCTATTTATTAAAAAATTCCATGCTCATCAAGGAATTCTTTTGCTATGCTTAAACCTTTAAAATAAATGAGAATAGCAATGGCTTGTGTGAAGATAAACCCCTCTGAAAACAATTCTATTTTTTCTCCTGAGGAGTAATTATCTTGAAAATCTGTGGAACCTCCATTGTGAAAATCACTAATCCCTCTAAAATAATGATTTGTAGCAGTGCTCCAGCAGCAACTGAAGCTGCTCAATTTAATAACAAAATCCTCTCTGCCATCTCCAGTTTTGTCGAGCTGGGAAATAAAAAACACAGCTTTTCTCTGGTTACTTTTTTTCAAAGTGAATTTGATGTCATTGCCTGATGGTCAGCCAGAGATTGAAAATCTCAGTACATTAAAGAGAAAGCTGTGGCACAGACATAGGAGTAGAAAAATGACTCATTTTCTGGCCGTTTTAGGATGCTTATTGAAATGCTCTTTCTTAAAAAAAAACAAACAGTATAATAAGCCCAAGGGATAGACAATTTTCAGTTTTCAGCAACCTGTTCACAATAGATCATTATTACTGTTTCTAGTGGAATTGTTTTTTTAAATCCCAGAAAGAAATGTTCCAAGAAAACTACAAAGCTAAGAAGACCTGGACCAGAGTATGGCCAATAAGTTTTTTTCGGGGGTGGCAGTGTTAGTGGCAGAAATATAAAAATGCTTCAGGTTGGAAAAATGAACAGTACTCTGAAGAGAACAGAACTGCATGTATATGTAATGTTTAGTGGCCTTATCATCTGAAGTAGGGGCAGAATGGGATGAAAATATTTGTAGCTGCTATGACCTGTCAATATAAGGTCAGAGCTGGGTTCAGGGGACATGGTTTAATAATTGTCTGTGGTGAATGCTAAACTCAACAGTGTTTTCTCCTTAATCGGTATGAGTACACTCTTTGGCTATTTCTCATACAGAGAACAGGAATCTCTTTCTAAGGATTATGTTTTACAGTTCTAACATTTCTACCTCATCAGGAACAAATTTCATTGCAACTGTTACCTATTTATTTAATTCACTCTAGAAACACCCACTGTAATTCTCCTGGCCATAGCTTTTGATCTCTTTTATGTTTTTCACTGTTCTCACTGATTTGGTTTTATAACAGTTCCCAGCTTAGTGCAAGCTGTCCTTTCCAAGAGTGAAGTACCTCTGTGTATTTATGTGTAACGGGCACTTAAGCTTGTGCAGGTGTAACCAACATAATCATCTGTACTTAAGCTGCGACTGGTTTCTAGTTCTAAGACCAATTTCTTTGTATCTGCCCGGATAAGGTGAATTATTGACTGAAATTGTGTCCACATTTGAGTAGTGATTGTTTGGGCCAGGAAACTGTCTACAGTTTTTGCAAAGCCCAAGAAAGTGTTAGGACTACCACACTTTGAAGATCTGTCATCCAGAAAAATACTTTTCCTTGCTACACATGGTATGTGTTTACTTAGAAAGCCAGTCATCCTGTTTTGTGGTATGATTTGTGGGTTGCTCCCTGCCTGCTTGAAGAACGCTGAAGGAAGACAGTTAACTTTATTTGCTTTAGACATGTACCTGACTCAGAAACTGGTAAAAGCCTTTTTTTTTTTTTTTTTTTTTTTTTAATGTGGAGAGTAGCTCCCCTCTCCTCCCCCTTCATCCATGTAATTCTACTCTAATAGGACTAAACCCACTGACAGAAACATTCCAGTCATGCATATCAACCTCAAATTTTAGTAATAACTGTTAAGATCAAATGTATGCTCAGATATGAGCACTTCCAGTATGTCCTGCCACTTGCAGCTGCCACAGTGCCAGGGTAAGAGTTTGGAGAAACTTACAATATCAAGAAGTTGAAGCTTATTGGTGAGTAGGCTTAGATAACATGCAGTTCCTCTGCTAGTCAGTCCCTCCAAACTTCCTTGGGAAACAACTGGCATTTCTAAGGCCAAGCTACCACATCCAAATTAGAAGTCCAGAAAGTACCTGTTACGCTGAATGGACTTTAAAGGGACCCAAGAGCAATGAGGCCATATTTCATGCTGTTGGCATACTAGTGAGCTTTAGTAGTGACTATGCTCCTAGGCTGGAGCACTGTGCTTCTACAGCCAGCCTGATCCCTGACATACCCCAGCTGGCTCACAGCCAACTCAGGTATCAGCTCTGCAACGTGAGCTTTTCCTCTTTCACCATGCAAATGTGGAGCTTGATAAACAACACCTTATCTTTCTGCAGTGTTTGCATTCACATGATGCGCAAACACCACTTGTGAATGATGTTCACATTATGTATAAATCCTGCTATGACTTCCACTTAGACTAAACCTGTCTTTAGCTTGCACCATAGTTTAGATCTCAGTGGAATACTGAAAGGATGAGCGCTCCAACTACAAGCTGGCATTTTTGTAGCCATACTCAATACAAGTCAGTATTTAGCATAAGGAAACTATTAATGTAGTGTGGTTGGGGCTGCATGGACAAAATAGAGATGAGAACTGGTCAAACCTGGTTTAGGAGAGGCATAAAATATTTTTACCAGTTTGTGTGAAGGACCCTGGTTGGATATATATGTTGATACTCTTGTGCATCAGCCTCTCAGGTAGATGTCTCCTGCTGCCTTTAGTCTCCAAAAGAAGCAGTATTTTCCCAAGTGCTCTCTAGAGTTTTACTAACACACTAATTGACTGAATTTTGTTTTGAGCTTTGATCCTCTGGCTGATGGACTGAGCCACACATTCCTCTCAGTGGCAGAGATGATTTCTGAGCCATGCAGCACAGCTCTTGTGAGTGCAGAGACATGCTTTTGTATCCCCTGCTAACTCTGGTCGTGGTTTACCTTGTTTTCCTGTGCACATCCTCATCTGTTCTATGTAGGGTCAAAACCTCCATTAAAACATACAAGTCAAATCTAGAGATTACAGAGCCAGATTTTAAAATACCTTTAAAATAGTTCAAGATCTCCGGTGGTAAGAACTGGAGGCAGCTGTGTAATCCTCGAGGGCTGCTATTTTAAGGATAATTCCAAAAAGAGACACAGTATTGTGGCTGGTTGTCAGGAGGCTGATATTTCTGGACTATTTTACTCTAATGTAAGGAAAGTGCAAGAAAGAGAGAAAGATGAGTTAAAGAATGCTATCTCCTGCTGTTCAGAATTCTTTGTACCCACGTTTTGTATTGCATTATTTTAAAAGTTTACCCTTAAAGTATTTTAAATGCCTATTTTTTACAAATGTAATTGGAATTCCAAGTACAATAAATAAATGGATTAAAAAAGAAGTACAATAAATAATTCCAAATGGAGAATATTCTTCAGTGTGTGTGTGTATGCACAAATCTCTGTCCTCTCCCTCTTCCATAAGGAAACACTTAGTCAATTACTTAAGTGGAATGACTTGCTTGCTGAAAATTACACAGGTACATAAGCAGTATAGACCTAGGTTTTTAATTCTAAATATTTTGTACTGAGGAGACTAGAAATAATTTTATATTTTGCTGTAATTCTAAATGATTTTAATCACTTTATTACAAAAATGCAAATATGGTTTTATGATATGTTCATTCAGAGCAAATTGTGTCAGAAACTTACAGCCTTTTTCAGTGGCATGAAATAGTGGGGTAGTATTTAGAAAAAATCCACCAAGTGCTGTTTGATGTGTATTGTACTTGAAAATAAATTCTTATTTATTATATTTATAAATTATTATACAATGCACACACAACACTCCATCGTGGCACATACTTAGTGTGCGTACAGCTTTTCCCTTATAAGGTAGTGAGCAAGAAATACATTTTCACAAACTTGTGTGCTAAAATTTAAATAGTTAAGCAACTGAAGATAATTAGGAGGCATAATATTTTTTAATAAGAGTTGGGAGTGATAAGTAAGCTTTGCCGTCACTGAGGTAGGTGATATATTTACTCAGCTTCTCCCTGTGACAGTTCTAAATAGTACACCAAGCAGTTAATTGGCTTTGGTACTGCAAGGAAGCTGAAACTGCTATCTAAAGTGCAATGCCACCAACAACTAGTCTGGCAGAAATCACTTAAGATTTGTATTTATTTCTACAACTCTTTAGCACTGGGTTTTACTGTATTGCCATGGGCTTTCTCATTCAGTGTACTATGGTGGACAGACCATAGCAAATGATGGTATGGAGTGTACTCTGCATGTTGTTTATATGCAGTCTTCCCTTTAAAAATACGGAGTTATGTTCATCACACTTTCATTCTGTTACTTTGAAGGGTCGCCAATACCTGTGGGCATTGATGTGCAGGTAGAAAGCATTGACAGCATATCTGAAGTTGACATGGTAAGTTGGTTAGTAAAACTGAAATAAAGAATTTCAGCCAAAACTCAAGGTCCCAGAAGCATCCAGATGGATGATATAGAACAATACAGTTAAAGGAAGAAAACGCTTAGCACAGCCTTGCCTTAAAGCATGCAAGTCACCCTCATTTAAATTAGTGTTATGTACGAGCACACATTGAATTTCTCCCCAAGCCAGAGGAACAGAACAGAGCAGAGAGCACTCTGATTTGAAAATGTCAACCATTCAGTAAGTCCCGTGGGCTTCCATGTAAGCTCTTAGTGCTCTGCACTTTTGAAGATGAGGTTTAATGTCTTTTAGACCTGTCTCAGGTCTGAATATTCCTCATAATTTCTGACATGATGGAGCTGTGGTCATAACAAATGGAAATATAAAAATCAGCTCCAGGAATGGTCTTAGGAAGGAGACACCCTCACTACAATCAAGGACATGTAGCAGTGGAATGCAGGCTGCTCATTCCTTAGCCAAAATTGTCACTAATAGTGCAACTCAGATGTTGGTGCCAAGTTGCTCAGTCCTAGAGTAGCAGGGCACATTAACTTGGCAAAGAGATCTCATTTGTGGTATCTTTTCACACCAAGTGCAGCTGTAGCCATGAGCGGTGAGCTTGCTGTGGGTTCTGTCAGTACTGAACCCCTGCATTGCTGTGCAAACCTACCCAAATCAGTGGGTTTCATGCAGGCATAAAATCAGATTAAATAAGAAAGCTTATTTATCTTCCCAGTATTATTTTCAGAAGTAATTTTTTTACCAAGATGAGTAATGCAAAAGCTAGATAGGTGAGCCCAGAGCAGATAGTCTGTGCAGAAGCTCAGACTGGATTTCCAGATTCCTCTCCATCTCTTTCCACAACTGTATTTGTTATATGTCATGTTATATAGCCATGTTATTCTATGTAAGATGATATCTTTAACAATATTTCATATTTAAAAGATTGCAATTCTTGTAAAATTGTTTACTCTTATGAAATTCACCATAGTGTTTCTATAATAATCATTTCATTCAAAAAATTTACTAATCTAAAACCACTGACTAACCTTTGTACAAAATGTACAGATGAATGGATTTTACAAACTGACCTGAAGGAACTATAAAGGAATTGTAAAGGGACTATAGTCTGTTGTGGCAATAACTTGTGAAAATTTCCACAGGAAAACCCTCTCCATTCACCTTAGGTTGGTTGTAGAGTTTCTTTTTCACTTTGTTGGTGATCTAATCCAGTAGACCACTGAGCTCTGTAAGAGTTTTATCTGAGTATAAATGACATATGAATGAACCCCAGACTCAGACACCAGGGACCAGGCAAACAGCAGGTATCTCAGAGGTAGCTCCAATATAAATTTAATCTCACTGAGTGGCATTTGATTCCTCTCATGGAGGATCCTCCACATGATGCTTATAGCAGAAACTGATCCTTTACATGAGTTGATTACTTTGTACTGTTTTCTATTGTGCATGAATAAAACATGTATTGTCTTCTTTTATTTTTAATTAAACAAAGGACTTCACAATGACTTTGTATCTCAGACATTACTGGAAGGACGAGAGACTTTCATTTCGTAGTACCAAAAACAAAAGCATGACTTTTGATGGAAGACTGATAAAGAAGATCTGGGTACCTGATGTATTTTTTGTACACTCCAAAAGATCTTTCATCCATGATACAACTGTGGAAAATGTCATGCTCCGAGTATACCCTGATGGCAATGTACTCTTCAGTCTACGGTAAGAACAATACCATTTTTATAAGAAAATACATGATGCAATTGTGGAGCAATAATCTGTATAATGAAAAACTACTGGAAATACTTGCAGTTACGATTCTGATGCTGAACTGGCATTAATACTCTGGTGTCAGATACTGGGAACAACTGACAAATGGAAATTTGCAGTGTACCAGTGGGAAAATAAATTTAGGATCGATAACATAAAGATAACATCTGTCATTCACATATTGTTCCCCATCACAGAATGATGGCATTTTTTCCATCTGTTGTGAATACCACTGAAGTTTTTCAAGTGTTAGTTCATTGCCAGTGGTTTTAGCAATATTGGAGTAGTTTTACTGTTGAGTGCAGTAAAGCCCAAAATTATTAGCACAGAACATTTTTTCCCCTGAGTCTTTTAAAATTATCTCGGCTATTTTCACCCTGGGATACCTGTAAACATTGCACTGATATAAATCAGAGCTGCAGGTAGGCACAGAGAGCTGCAGATCATCAGTGCTGATGCCAGCAGTGTTCAACAGGCACACTGTGTAACTACAAAGAACTGGAAAGCAAAACAGCAGTTCCATAACTGGAATAGCAATGTCATTAAACACGCCTTCCTTCTACCTACACAATATTGCTTTTCTTTATCAAGCAGATTTGGATGATGCAGCAGAAACAGTTTTAATGGAAGAATTTTCCCCCTTGGGCAGAGGCCCTGGAGCCTGTGCATTGCAGGAATCACCACTCTCTACTTTGTTACTAATTAGCCCTGTGCACAGATGTGATATTTCATCTAATCTGGAGAGCTGGAAGATTTATGCAAGCACTTGAGTTTTTGGTCATGTAATAATTGTTCTAACAAGTAAATTAATTCATCTACCCTCTCATACAGCATGCAGAAACCCTCACAGCAACTGCTGTACACCACGTTGAAATAGTGTTAGGCTTTTATTTTCAAGAATCACACTGACCAGCAAGAAACCATGAGGTAAACTATGCATTTTATTTTTATATTCACTTCTGTGCTTCATGAGAGAGAAGGATCAGAGGAAATGCACCAAGGCTTACAGCAGTAGCTCTCAATGTGAGGGGAGATGGGAGCCTCTGCCCTGCGTCCTACATACCATCTGCAAGCTGGTGCCCTACTTTTACCTCTTGCCCTCTTCTCTCTGCTTCCAGAGTTACCTTTCCCTAGCCCTGCATTGCTTGTTGGTGGGTACTGGGTGACTCCTCCTTGCTCTGACAGGTGAGCCTGCATGCAGTCTCACCTTCCTATGCCAGTGAAGAGCAAAACCCCAAAGTTCCTGCTAAACCTCTGGATTTTGACGTGTGCATAAACACGAAGAGCAGGTCCTCTTCTCATCCTTCCTTTCTCTGTCACGTCTTAACAAGCTAAGAGGCAGGGAAGGGCGTGACCTAAGGGCTGGTGAACCAAGGTTTTGAAATGATTAAGGTCATACAGCCTGAGTGCTGTTAATCTATATGTTCCTAAAGAATCGGATGCTCATTAAACCTTCTTTTTGTATTGCCAGATTTACATGCAGTGGGTAGATTATATTCCAAATCCTTATGTGCAAGAAATCTGAATATTCCACAGTTTTTCTTCAGTACCCAGCATCCAGGACTTTAATGAAGCAAAATTGAATAAAAATCCAGATTTGGTGCTAAAATAGTCCATTTTTTTCCACATTTTCTTGCTGTTCCCCTGATCCTGTAGTCAGTATTTAAAAGATAGAAATGACATCCATAGTTAGAGGTCTTATGCATCTTTTTAAAGACGTATCAGTCTTACCATCTCATTTCAACCCTGTAAAATCTTACATTTGTAAAAGCTTAGTGACAATGTGATTACTGATCACAAGTTTCCAAAGATCACCTCTATATCCAGCATATTCAATATCAATAAAGTCCATGTAGGATTCAGTTTGGGGAAAAAGTAAATCCCAAAGTAAAACATCAAATTATATACAAGCTCTGACAAGAAAGGAAAAATTGGAAGTTTTTACTATATTTAAATTGCTGCTTATAGCCTTTCTGTTTGTTTGTTTATTGTGTTATTTGGTTAAAATGCTAGGGGTCATTTGTCTTCTAAATATGAGTGAAAAAGCAAGTGAAATTCATTGTCTAGGTTTCCTTAAGCTTTTTAGGGTATTAGGCATTTGTATGTTGTTGAAGAGGAGAATAGGCTTTCAGACATTGCAGCTTATCTTTTTATGCAATTAAATATTATAACCATGCTAACAGGGAAAATAGCACTTGGAATAATATTTACTCTAATCTTTAATATTACCTACTTCAGTCTATGAGAAACTAGTCAAGAAATGTGAACTTCTCTTGTTAATTTTGGCAAGTGTAACCATTCAAAGCAAAATGTGTGAAAGGCTAATCAAGGATCAGGCCAGTAAAGAGTTTATAAATTGAGTGTAATGTATTTAATAAGAAAGACTATTTATGTTTAAAAATGTGTTCTCTCACTGGGTTAGTTTTCTATCACTACCTTGAGGCAATTTTAGAAGTGTCCATAACAGCAGAAAAAGTCATTCATTAGGATTCTAACCAGCAGGTTGGTCGGGGATTTCAATCAGGTGGCTGCACAGCCCAGAGAAAGTGTGAAATTTTTCATTTACTTTCTGGTTTTCTGTTCCTTCCTGCAGAATAACAGTTTCTGCTATGTGTTTCATGGATTTCAGTAGGTTTCCTCTGGACACTCAGAACTGTTCGTTAGAACTGGAAAGCTGTAAGTTTAATTCATGACTGCTCCTCACATGTGCATTATTACCAGCAGTTCATCTTCTTCATAATACCTTTTTCACCTGTGTTGCTGTGTGACCTGAAATCTTTGACCTGTACATATTAAACTGCTTTGTATCCAGTTTGGGATATTTCTGTAGCTCAGTGCGCTTTGGGAAGACAGAAAAACAATCGTGTGCCCCACTTTGTTTTGACTGAGTTGATGTTCCAAGGTCTCAATTCAAAATCTTTTCCTTTTCAAAAATCATGCTTTGTCTGAGGAAAAATGCAAGTTAAAAGTAAAATAAAATGTCAAGATTTGACCTCATAGAAAAATGAAAAGGAATGCTTGTGTTACAGTGAAATGTCTGTTTTCTCAGCCCTGACTCTGTGGTCTGTAGTAAAGGTAATTGTGTCTTGCAGAGAACTTTGATACCTCAGAATTTATTTTGTTTGGATTAAGAGCAAAACTGGAATGCCGGCTGGTTGTTCAGACTCCACAAAAAGGAACAGACTGCCAGTGCTTGGGCAGTCTGCTCAGCACAGCAGCTCCCAAGCTGTACCCCTGTGTGACTTGGGACCCTGAGCATGCCTGTGCTCCCCCTCTGTCAGGTACATGGCTGACATGGCACAAGATTGCATCCTGAAAAAAGGTGCAATGTGTTTTTTGCAATTTTTCTATGTCAACTAACTGGCAAATTGATATTAAAAAAAAATAGGTTTCTTTGAGGTTTTCCAAATTGTTTTGAGTGTTCTTCTATTGCTAAAGAAACAGAAGCTTTATTCCAGCAGAGAAAGTGATTTAGTTTTTACTTTCTCCTAGATGCATATAATGAAGATGATCTGATGCTATACTGGAAACATGGAAATCAGTCCTTGAGCACAGATGAACACATCTCCCTCTCCCAGTTTTTCATTGAAGAATTCAGTGCTTCCAGCGGACTCGCATTTTACAGCAGTACTGGTATAGTAAGCCCCTGTCATTAGAAGGGAAGCATGGGACGCAGCCATGCAGACTTTCACCTTCAAATTAATTGCTAATAAATTAGCAATGGCAGACCTCTGAGAGGTCTGTCAATTGCACTGATCTGTTAGCCTCAGGCCTAAGTTCTCTTTACATTACCAGTGTAACACCTGCTCTGTATTAGAAGAGGCTCTGATAATACTTGCAACCTGACAAAAAGAACCTTAAAGAAATGCAGAACAACTAAATATATGCTGTTGTGAGCTCTCAAAATTGTGGGCCTTTTCCGAAAGTCTCTGGAGTATTGGGTTTACAGGAATATTTTGGTCCTGGTTATATAGAAAAAAATATTGAAAATACCAACTGTAAAGGGTCAAGTACTAGAAAGCAAACAAAAGGAAACCCCAATCTATTTTACTGTCTACAATCTCATTTTTTGGAGCTGGAAAGTGTCATTAAAAATCTACTGACTTTAAAATTCTTCATGAGAGTGTTTATAACCTATTAAGGTCTAATTCATGGTTTGTTTAATGTTCCATGTTTATACATAAAGTTGCAGAAAAAAAATAATAATCCTTGTATGTCAGTGCTACATTGTTTACATGCAGATATCTGTGCCAGACAGGTTTTTATGCCTCACTATACATCTTGAACTACACCTTTTGGCAAATTGCACAAGGCCCTAGAAGTTTATTATAGGTTTGATTTCATGCAAAGTGGCTTTTATTTTCTCTTTAGTTGTGCATGCAATTACAAACTTTGCATTATGTCTCTATGTAAGTAGTCTAAACATACTTTTCTTAACCAGATCAAATAGAATGCTTGCTACTGTACTTTCTGGTTTGAGACAGTTCATTTCAATGGGAATATTCCCCTTTTATATACAGGCAGATTAATGAAATAGAAATGATTCCATATAATGGGGTGAAATGCATAACAATTTAAAACAAACAAACAAACAAACAACCTTGAAGACATATAGAAAAACTGCAAATAGAATTATTTACTTTATTTTAGATACAGAATATCTTTGTTTTCTTTAAAAAAGAGTAAGAGGGATTCAAGTTTGCAGGGCTCTTACTTTAATGGCTGATATTTAATGCAGAAATTCCAGTTTAAACGGTACTGCAGCCTAAGCAGTGAGGAATTCACAGCTTGATCAGTTCCTTCAGCCTTATCTCTTGCCTGTGTCTGAGCTAAGAACAGAGCTCCAGCTTTCAAGAGCCACTGTCATGTGAGAAGAGAAAGTTACCTTGCTATTGTAACACTGCCTTGCAGAGAGCTACGTCAAATTTGTCCTTGTTGCAAGAAGGAGACTGGGATGGTTTCCACCAAATTGCTATCACTGTGTGAAACTGCATTCTGGGGACTCAGGTGGCTTCTTTACCCTTCTTGCTATTCTCATCAAAAAACACTAATGCAAGCAAATATGGCCTTGTGCACAGCACTGCAACCTCATACAACCTCTGTACCTTTGCAGCACCTTCACAGCACCTTTGATTTTGCAAAAAAAAAGTAACTGCTTAGCAGTAATGTGCAGATGTTTTGAAAACAAGCTAACTCAGCAGGGTAAAGGTGGAAAAGTAGGCTTTTTTTAAGTCACTGGTGAACACTGGGAGGTACCTCGGAATAAATGCAGGTGCCTTATCTGTTAACTAGATCACTGATGTTTGTAGGCATACACTTTGCTTTGGCTTTGAGGTTTTGTGTCAGACAGGAGCTTACACTTTCTCCTCTTCTTTTGTTTTGCTTCTTGTTGGAAGAAAGTGGTTACATGTAACATTTCCTCCCCACCAGAAGAAAGGAACAGTGGGGAGCTATTGGCATAATTTTAGTGGCAGCCATCTCCTCCTGAAGAGTCTGGACAAAAATGCTGCTCACAGAGCAGACTTCTGCATTTTAGGTTGTGCATAGCCTTTCTTGTGAATCTCAGTGAACTACACATGCATAGCATTTAGGATTTTGGAGTTCCCTGGCCTCCAAAGGAGCAACAATGTCACTGTCAACAATCATTCTAAAGACAAAACCCTACTGCATGGCTGAAACCACTTAGAGCATCTTTAATATTAAATAGGGTCACTGCTGAGATAGTCCTTTTTATAAAGTGTCTCTTTGTGATGGCAGGACTGTTCAGACACAGGCTTATTTCCATCTGCAGTTGTATAGAAAAGGCATATTCTGCACAGACTGCTGCGTTGCCTTCTTTGTACCTCACTGTAAACTGTTTTCCTTGCACAAGGTGTAGCACATGTGCTTTGCTGCACATCCAGAGCCTGCCCCAAAAGTCACTAGATGGCACCCTTACCTCTAAAGTCAAAGCTGGGCAGGGAAAATGATCTGACCATAGGAAAAGTGCGGCTTGGTGCCTGCATGTTTGCAGCATGAGAGAAGGCAGGCTGCTTTTGAGGGGAGGCAGGGTATCTGCTCCACTGGGCTAGCTGAACTGGACTGTTATATCTTATCTGTATTCCCCAAGCAGTTTCACTTGAAATCTATTTACTTTATTTTTTCAGTTTCCTAACCTTAAAATTATGCAATACTTGTGATGCTTCACTGCCAAGGCAGCTGTGTATTAATGAGGTATGGATGGGCAGTTAATAAAGCAGTATATGAAAGCAGGGTGATAGCAATATCTCTTAGGTAGTTACCATTACTGATGTGGAAACACTGGAAGGAGAGGACTGGTGAACAGAGATTACAAATAACATAGTTCTCTTCTTTTCTCCCCCACCTTCTTCCTCCCCTTTTTCTCATTAGGCTGGTACAATCGACTTTTCATAAATTTTGCACTCCGGAGACATATTTTCTTTTTTGTGCTTCAATCCTATTTCCCAGCCATGCTGATGGTGATGCTGTCTTGGGTTTCATTCTGGATTGACAGAAGAGCTGTTCCTGCCAGGGTATCACTAGGTAAACCTTTACTGTATTCTTCTGGGATACATAGAATGGATAGGGGAGAGCTTTTGAAGTTACCTTAGCTTTTTATTTACGCAAGACATGAGCAAATATATCAGGTAGTTGCCTGAACAACTCTATTATTGCCACTGTTGTCAGTAACACAAACTCCTTTAGTTAACCTCTGTGTTTGGAAATGGGATGTTTCTTCAGACTGGCTTTACTGTACTAGTAGCTCACACACTACTGAAGGAAAAAAAATTCTTTCTGCACATTTCCATAGGTAGAATTTTAGTTCATTCCCCCCCCTTTTTTTTTTTTTTTTTTTTTTTTTTTTTTTTTTTTTCCCAAAGACTTCTTTTTCTTCCCAGGGAAGTATCAGGTAGTCAGATCCCTTCCTGGATCCATGGCTCATGAGAAATACTTCATAGGCACAGCAAAATCTATCTAAAATCTTTGTAGCTCAGCTTTCTCTCTAGAACCAGTTGATATCTTCCTACCAACCTGGAGCCACTTTTCTGACTTGTCCTAGGTAGCAAAGCCTTTCTTTGTCAGGTACTTTGAAAATGTTTACTTCAGTCCCTTAACTGTGCAAGGCACGCAGGCTACTGTGGAAGGCAAAGAGCAAGCTGGGTGCCTTTCTGCTCTCGTGGTTTAACTCTGAACACCACATTTTGGGATAAAAAGATTAATTACAGTTGGCTCTTTTTTTTAATAACATTATTGTTCTCTCAGTGATTAATCAGTTGATACCACTTCAAGGCTACCTTTTGCTGGTAATTTAACACTAATGGACTTGGACTAGGTGGATTTTTTTTCAAAGATTAGCATCTCTGTGAAAATCTGACAAAAATATATTAAGATATCTAATGTATCCCTAATATATCTGAGTCCAAAAAACTGTAGTGATGAAGCTCCTGCTCCTTCTTCTCACTGATACTGGTCCCAGAAGCTGACTGTATGTTGCTGTATTTCTTAGACAAGTAAAAGCTTTGGGAATCTCTGTTTAAGAAACAAACTGGCATGTACTGAGGCAGCCTTTAATGTTTATCTATAGCTATATTAATCTGCCTTTCTATTGGCAGATATTTATATCTCTACGTGAGATACAAATATATTAGTCTAAAACCAAATTATGACACCTAGTTTTATTAATGCATCTACCAATTTATTTTATTTGTAAGAAATTTAACTTCATATTCATAAATCAAGTTTTAATTCTCAGTAGGTCATTTGTAATGTTGTCAAGATGTTTTTGCTGATCATGTTCTTTAATTTATGCGTGGGTTTCTAAAGAAAGTTATGCATCAAGAGTTTTACAAATAATGCACGTTCACTACCCTACAGCAGTCATAGAAAAGCTGTCATAGAAAGTACTCCTTGCACTGCTGAATCAGCAGCATTTTGTACCCACTGCTCAAACATGGTGTGCTACAGCTCTGACTACGCACATGGAGTGGAGACAGTTTTCACTATTGTATGTGATAGGTCCTTCATGGTTCACTCCACTTTTCAGAGCCTGTTCAGTGAAGTTAAAAGCAGTCTCAATCATTTGCCCTCACAGAGCTGTGCTGTCCAAGCAACTGGTGATGAGCTAATCAGAACCAGCTGGCCTGTATTATGATAACCTCCCCTTCTTCTTTGGCAGGCATAACTACAGTGCTGACAATGTCAACCATCATTACAGGAGTAAGTGCCTCAATGCCTCAAGTGTCTTACATAAAGGCTGTGGATGTGTATTTATGGATCAGCTTCCTTTTTGTCTTCCTATCTGTCATCGAATATGCTGCAGTGAACTATCTCACCACAATTGAAGAGAGAAAACAACTCAAAAAAAGGGGCAAGGTACAATAATCTGTGTTTTGCTGCCTTCAGGAGTATCACAGAAGCCACAAAATAATCCTGATACAAAACTGTGATAATAGTACCGTAACCATCTTTGTGACTCCATTTTGTATCTCATTTTTTCTTGGCTGAATGGGAGAAATGTATTGATCTCTCAGATCTTGAGAAGGTCTGAGCTTTCTCTCCCTTCCTTTTCTTGTAGCAGAGGTTAAGGAGCACATCTCATTTTTATTATTATCCCCCCTGCCCAGAGGAAAGTAATCTTTATTTTGTTTCTCAAATGCCTATTGATCAAGGGAGTCTTTTATTTTTTTTCCTTTCTCTGAAATACACACTAAAATGTGCTCACTGTGATATTTCCATCCTGTTTCCTGTGAAACAGACTATCCTTCTCCTGCTCCCCCATTTTTCTGATAGGCAGATGGGTTTAATGACATACATATATATATATTTGTGCCAAGACCAGATGAATGACAAGGTCAATTTTTTTTTTTTTAAAGTGTGCCTGAAGTAGTAATGTTTATATTTCTGTAAACATTTGCTTTCTATGAGGCACTCACTTAAAAACTTTGCTCCAAGAATATCCCCATATGTGAAATCATTTGCTGGAATATCACAAAGGGAAGAATATACAAAGGATGCATATGTTGCTCACATGATTTGATAATCCTATCAAAAAACATGGAAATGTTTGAAGTCCAATAGCTCCAGCAACACAGACCTACAGGAAATGCAGAGTTTGATTTTTCTGTTTCAGAAGCAAGGGCACATGTAAGTCAGCTGGCAATAATCAGTCAGACAAGTGTGTTTTGTCACATATATCCCTTTACTTGCTCATGTCCTCCACGGGAGGCCAGGCCCCACAGGTAGAAGCATTTGGGGTAGATACACTGGGAGGTAACCATATTCTCTTTATGCTCTCAATAGGGGGAACAGCACTGAAGAGAAAACTTTTTTAATTTTGTGTTTTATTTAATTATTACTTACTACAATGGCTTCTGCTAGATGCAGATTAACTATTCTTTGTTGCCAGGCATCAGGAATGTACAGTATTGATGCAGTGCAAGCAATGGCTTTTGATGGCTGCTACCACGACCCAGATGTGGACATGGACCTGACTTCTTTCTCTGACCGCTGTGAAGAGAACGCAACGCGGGCACGAGCAACCAGTGTCTCCAACGTGGGCCCAGCTCGCATCAAGAGAAAGAGATCTCTGAAAGGAAACGTGGGCAGGATTATTCTGCAGAACAATCATGTCATTGACACATATTCCAGGATTATATTTCCCAGTGTGTATATCGTGTTCAACTTTTTTTACTGGGGTTTGTACATATGAAAAGAAATCATTATAAGCTAGACATTATTTTGTGTATGACAGTAGCATTGTGCTCTAAAAATAATGCAAAAGCAGTACAGGAAATGGTTGAGAGTTTCTGAAACTGGCTTCTGTGTCAAACCGAGGCAGGTTTGTTTAGCAGCAAACCTGCTAATGAAAAATTCTCATGAGCCTGTTTTTTCAGTTGGACTGTGTGGTGCTTTATTGGGGCAATCAAATGCACACGCTACTGCTGCAGTAGCACAGAAGCAATTTGCTCACTAAGGGAGCCCTTTATCACACACCTAAACAGATAGCAGCTCTTGGTCAATGTATGTATTATTCAGTGTCTATCTATACTATAATCATTCCTCTTTAATCAGCCTTTCTGTTTGTTCTCCACTTGTTGTCCAGGTTCGTTTTCAGTCAGCACCAATCGCCTTCAAATAGCTCCTATCCCTATTTCACATGCTGCATTTCTGTTTTGCTAGGCAACCTGTATACACCTCTGGAGCCTTTGTCCTCAGATAGTAGGGAAAGCAGGAAGCAAAGTTAATGGGGCTTTGTACATGGTGCATCATCAAAGCCTCAAGAAAAACCTTCACCCTGTCAGCTATACTCGTCTTTCCACAGGATCACTGGAAGGGACCTCTATTCTGGAGAAATCTTGATCACTAGTATCCGAGGTAGCAAAGGAATAGCGTCCCAGATGCAATGCACTCCGTGTCCTACAGCCACCTGCCTGGTGGATGAATAGTGTCACCTGCACAAGGTGTGCCCTTCAGTGTGACACCTGCACACCTGTGCCTCATGTTAGGCCTGCTGTAGTCACCTGCTTTCTGTATAACTGCTCTTTTCAGAAACCTAGCCTTTGAGGAAGAGATTTTAGAATACTTTGTCAAGAAAGCAAACAAACCATGTTTTTAGCAGAATCTGGTTCTTCCATTTTATACTGTATACATGAACTTGGGTTTTTGTCCCATCCTTGCCTTCACAGATTGGAAGTTACAGTGAGGGGGTGCTTGCCTGCAGCACTTGTCCCTATCACAGCTCAAGCTACCACACCAACACCTGAGAAACACAGGAAATAAAAAGAAGCTGCTGTGCCAAAACAGAGCCATATACAGGAAACCTGCTGGTCCCAGATGAGTCCTGCATGGCACCCTTAGGTTGAAGGGTTAATTCAACCCCTTTAGGTTGAATTAAAGATGTTCAGGGACACACACAAGAAGTGTTCACAGGTCCAGAAAAGAATCAAGATTACTTCTGTGGCTTTCCCAAATGAGAAACATTTTCCACTTAAATTTCCTGGTTTTGTCTGTCAATTAATGAAGTGAGTTCAAATGTACAAATTCAGTTCAAAATGATAATTTGTGATAACAAAAAATATGAAAAGGTAAATGTTTGGTCACTGCTTGGTTAAAATTAGGAAATGGGAATAAATTTGGAAGTCTGAACCACTCTCGGATTTATGATTTTCCTACTCCAATATTGTTTCATTATAGCATGGTGATGTCTCGTACTGTTTCAAAAAGCTGCATTTGTCAAGCTCTCAGTTACAGAGCTGGAAAAGCTGGTGACACATTGCATGCTGGCTGATTGAAATCTGATGGAGTAAGTGGGTACTTTGGCAGTCAAGTCACTGCCAAACAAATGATCAGAGCTAAGACAGCTTTGATACTCTTCCAGGAAATCCTGACATGGAAAGGAGAACTGTACCAGGAATGACAATGCTGGGAACATAAAGCCAAAGGACACGCAGGGTTTTGGCAACAGCAACGGCACACCAGACCTCAAGCTGAGCAGATGTGTAATATAAATATATAAAAGAAATCACCATGTCATCCTTGTTACTGCACTGCTATTATGAATGCATCCTGCACAGATGTTCCAGATTGCCTGAGAAGATCCCATCTAATTGCTCCAGATGTGTGCGCCCTAAACTTATAGCATGAACTAATGTAACACCATTGTTTTCACATAAATTTTTTATCTGCCTTATGGGAAGAGCTATTTATCCAAATAAGAAGTATTTATCCAAAAGTAAATCTTCATCCTCTGACAGAAAAAGTACCCAAGTGCTTCTTGACCCAAAACAATTCCCTCTTCTAAATATCTTGGAGGATCTGCAGCAGCAAGGGCTCTGCAGTCTAGCCTGCCCAAGTCCAGTGCAGACTGGCCAGCAAACTGACCCACACGTGGAAGCGTATAGGAAAAGAGTCATGCCTGCATTTACTTTCCCAGCACATCCTATACAGGTACCTAGAAGCAGCTTTGTTTTCGTTCATGGATAAAACTGTTATTTATTTTGCAAGTTTGAATGTAACCACTGGCAAAGTGTTCTCATCATGGAAAGTGATGGGAAACTCACTATATAGTGAGTTTTATTATGATAATGACGAGGATTGCATCTTATGATGATGCAACCTACTGCAAACTTTTTTCAGCAAAGCTTATGATTTTTATCTTCTCAATGCAGTGACAGGGATGATATCAGGATCAATTATACTTCACAGATCCTTTATTGTAAAATAATAAAAAATAGCATTTAAATACATTATTTTTAGAGGGCTTTCTGAGCATTAACTGACTAAAATTCACATGACCCTCTTTTGAAATTTGTGTTACCTTCCAGAAGGGTACAGTAGTAAATATTTTTAGTCATTTTGTCTAGACAAATCAGCATGGAAGCCTTTACAAAAGTATTCACAAGTATTTCCCGCTCCTGTTATTTATGGCTGGTTTTCCAGCCAGTCAAATGTGGGAGTTTTACTTCCCACAGCATTTACTAAAACTTAAAACATCACAGCCATTATTTAAATACATATTTGTTTGAGTGTTCACCCTAGTGGTATTCAAGCAGTTATACTGATAATACTTTGTGGATTTTTGGAAAACAGAAATAACAGCTTGTCATTGCTCCTGTGACCAGCTGAAGCGCAGGATGTGGCCTCCCTATTTTTAGCATCTGCTGGTACACCCATCTGGATTAAGAAAACATCCTGGAAGTGTTAATGTAGGTGATTAAGCTGCAAAATTTAAGTCTGGAAAACTACTTCACTCTTCAAAGCTTTATCAATTTTGTGGAAGAAGTAAGTAGAATTTCATTCCAGTGACCTGTTTTTCAGAAGGCTAGAAGAAGTTACACCTTTGAATATCCCAATGACTAATGTTTACACTAAAATAATCTCAATTTAATACTTTTTGCAAGTGTCCTGGATGCTGAGTGATGTCATGATGAACTAATAAGAGGACAGAATTAGAAAGCAGAGAATATCTTTGTTTCCTTCTGACAGTCGAATGAAAGAAAAATGCTCGAGAGAGAAATGTAAACTTTCCTATGTAATTCACATATCTATGTACATAGCTTTAGTTTCAGCCCTGGCAAAACTTATCTCCCCGTAACAAATCCCCATGCTGATCAGCCTGTATTTTTCATGACTGAGTGGCCACAGCATTCTGGTCATCTGGAGACCAAAGTGGTCCAGAACAGAATACGATGAAAAGCGTTTGTCTTTTATTCCCTTCCATCCCTTTTTTCTGTGTATTTATTATGTTTTTCCATTCCCTCTATTCAGCACATACGAGTTTGGATGTATGAGTGAGTATGGAACCCCATGGAAACACATAACATTTATTGCAAGGGACCCAATTAGCACCACGGAAGCAGGAGATATTTCTACCACAAGGAGGAACAGGACTGTAAAAGCATTTTCTAAAAAGGGAGGAATCTGAGCTGCTATTTAGATGTGATAGGTAGATGTGATACTTAGGTTTCTATTATTTCTGTTATCTGCGGTTATCTTAAGGTTACATTTCCCTCCAGAGCGCTGCGAGAACATTGTCCCCTCTTCTATCTGTCTTTGAGAAGTCCCTCTATTAACAATCTTGTGCCCAATACAACTTTCCACGTGTATTAGCCACGTACTTAGAGGCTGCTGAGGTTTCCAAATTTCACATTTTGCTGGTAGTTCTATTTTGTGCGCTTCAAGTGATCAGTACACAAGAACAGAAGTTTAGCAAAGCCTACCTAACAATTTCTCTGACATCTCGCAAAGAACGTAAACTAACCTATTAATAGACATATTTAATATAGGCAACTAAAAACATTTCTTGATGTTTTCACACCCTCAGTCAAAGGACTCAGGAGAGGCGCACAAGAACAAAACTCAGGTCCAGGAGAAAACAACACAGCCAAAGAACAATTAATCATTTATTATACACAGTCAAACTTCACGGAGAGAACCACGATTTTTCGCGAGGTGACTGCTATTTTAACCCATCACGCTCAACACAGCGGGCATGCCCCTCAGGCAGCACACCCAGTCCCTCACCGTGCCGCCCCGCCGCCATTTTGTGGCGGCCGCCGAGCACCTCCCCCGGCCCGGCCCCGCCCCGCGCAGCGGCCCCGTGCCCGGGTGGGTGAGCCTGGGGGTCCGGGGGGGGGGGGAAGCCGGCGGGGGGCGGCTGATGGCGGCGGGGGGGGACCGCCCAGCAGCCGCCCCGCCGGCAGCAGGGGGACATCGGGGCAGCCCCGCCGCCTTGCCTGTCCCGGCTGCGGGGCGGGGCGGGAGGCAGCGTGGGGTGCCGGGTGCCGGGGCGGGAGGCAGCGTGGGTGACCCCCTGGAGGGGTGAGGGGGCGCCAGGATCCGCCCCTGGTGCTCCGGGGGTCGTCAGGCAGCGGCCCCGGGGCTGTGCCCGCTGCTGGCGGTGCCCCTCGCGGCTGGGGGCTGCCCCCTTGACGTGGCCGCACGTGTGAGCGCTGGCTGGGATCCGCGGCTGGCCCTGCAGCGCGGTTTTCCTTGTTTTTTTTTTTTTTTTTTTTTTTTTCCCTTCTGGAAAAAGTTTAATCGTACCCACACGTGGCAGCGCGGCGGTGGGAAGCAGCAGGGCTGCGTGGCCTAAGAATAGCCGTGACCAAGTTTTTCTGCCAGAGCACCCCCGTGCTGTGCTTTACAGGCCTGAGCTCAGCAGGGGCTCAGCTCTCCCTATGCTTAAGCACAAACAGGTGTGTGATTGGGAAAATAATGCGAAATAACTCCTGTCTGAAGCCAGAAGTGCTCAGCTCTGTTGTGTTTTTCTGGTTTGTTCCAATAAGCCACCGAAACATGGCAGCGCAGCACGCTGTGTAAAGGGAGCCTGTTCTGTGAGCAGCACTCACCGGGATTTAACTTAGAGGCTGGGCGTGAGCATGAGGCTGACAGGATGGATTTAGGTCTGGGATACAAATAGGGCAATTTGGTCTTGGTTGCACTTGTGTTGCTGGCGTTCGGGAGTGTGAGCGCAAAACCGCAATGCCTGCAGCATCATCAGAGGTTGCTCGCAGGAGTGGGCCAACCTTCAGTCCTTTTGAGCATTCCCATTTCTTGCTGAGGGCTGTGGCTTGCTGCAGCAACGAGTGTCCGGTGGTGATGTGGATTCCCTCTTGCTGGACTTTGGTGACCCACAGTTCCTGCTGAGGCACAGGAGCTACGGATGAAACACTTCACTAGGGAGTTGGTGTAGCAGTGAGGATGTCCTGCATGCAGCTGCGTAGGAAAACTTCGCACTGTGCGTGCACACCAGAACTAGAGTTTGTTTTGTGATAAGGATTCTGTGTAAAAAGCATGAGATTGTTTACTTTGGGAGTAAGGCTGTCATTTTCAAAATGACATTTGCCAAATGAAAGCTGCAGTGTGCTGCAACTCCTTGCATGGTGGCTTCACAAACCTGCTCGGACAAGCCCAGGGTTAGCTGGGCTCAGCCAGCCCGGACTGAGCAGGCGTGCTGCAGTCCTGGAGGGCTTGGTGCTGGCTTGCTGTCAGGATGCTTAACTCGGCTTCTCAGGCAGGGTTTCACCTCTGCCTGGGGCTTTGAGCCACACAGGGGGATGAACTGCTGGTGCTGATGTAAACTTTAATGCAAGTATGTCTGTTTGTACTATGGTGTTAGACTTACCGTTACTTGAGTTTTGCCTTAACTTTCCTGAAAACTTGGCAGATACGCCCTTTGTGAATTACCTTTTTAAATTTTTTACATAATGATATATAAACATATTGTCTAGTCTTGAGAAAAAAAAACAACACACTGACACAAATTAAGTGACTTTACAACTTTTAAATTAAATGTGTGCAATTTGGGGAAAAAAAGTCTTTTTATTCTACACAAACCACAAAGTTTGACAGCTTTACAAAGATGGAAGGAGAACCTTGTAATTTTAGTTTTCACTGTAATTGCACAGCATCAGCAGAAAGCCCTAAAAATATTCCCTCCTTTCTGTAGACTTGGTTTAGCCAGAGCTGGCCATCACAGTATAGAGACTGGGGACAGATGTGTGCCATTGTCACTGTGTGCTGAGGATGAGTAACACTGAGGCCTGCAGCATGTGCTTCTTTCCAACGTTGGTGTCTTTCAAGGATGTGTAATAGGGTCCCAATTTCTCATTCTGTCCCCTCTCCACCCCTTTTGCAAGTTATCATTAAAGCTCTTACATCTAGAGGTGGTTTTAAATGCATCTACTGCTGCAGAAGACCAGTCTACCTAAGGGCTCTTTTTTGTGGGTGGATTTCCATATTTATAAAGATCTCATGTGTGTGGCCATTTGGATTCATTGTGTCTATTTTTTATTATGAACTCAGGTGTGGGATTTGAACTTCTGTGAGCCACAGCTTCCAGTAGAGTCCTTTGGAGTTTGCTGAGGATCTGAGAGTGGATTGGAGGCAGCTTGGAACAAATAGTGAGCATCTGAAAGCAGAGCCATTCCCGGGGTACTCTTACTTGCCTACTTACGCTGGAGAAGGCAAGAGGAGCTGCTCAGGTCCCTCAAGGTTGTGCTGCTGGTTGACTGTTCTTTCTCTCTCTCCCCTCTTGAACAGGAACATGCCCAAGAAAGGAGGGAGGCAAGCTGAAATGGGAAAAGAAATGCAGGTGCAGTGTAAACGAGCAAAGGTGGAAGCAGCTTGTTCGCTGGCAGTTATGAGTTTCGAGAGCCCAGACAGCCTTTTTGGAAGCCTGATCTCTCCCATCAAACCGGAGGTGTTTTTCAGGGAGTATTGGGAACAAAAGCCGCTGCTTGTTCAGAGAAATGATCCCCTGCTGGCTGCTTATTACCAGTCTCTCTTCCAGCTGCCAGATTTGAAGGAACTGTGCAG